GTTAACCGAGCGGCGCCTTGACGCGTGAATTATTGAGGCGTTGACTGTTCTTCAGGATCAGCTATGATGAATTCACAATCCAATGAGAGAATAGCGAAAAGTCATGGCTGGCCCCGCCCACTCGAATCGTCATCGTCACAATGACATGCCTGTCAAAATGTTCTTAAAGGGGTCATATGATGCGATTTCAATTTTTCCTTTCTCTTTGAAGTGTTACAAGCTCTTGGTGCATAAAGAAGATCTGTAAAGTTGCAAAGACTAAAGTCTCAAATCCAAAGAGATATTCTTTATAAAAGTTAAGAGTCAACCACGCCTACCTAAAACGGCTCATTCTAACACGCCCCCACATGTCTACGTCACGATGTGGGAAGATTTGCATAACGCCGCCCAAATGTTCACGCAAAGAAAGAAGGCGTAACTTTTATTCTCGCTGTAGTTTTGTTGCCGCCTCCGCCATGTCGTGAAGGCGCTGTGTGCTTCGTTGTGAAAGCGAAACTACTTTGTTTGGTCTTCCAAAAGAGGACGATATCTGCTTCGTCATGCCTGGAGCTGATCCGTGCTGGTCGCATTTCTGTCACACGCTTGAGGAATTCAACCAATCACAATGCACTGGATAGCTGGCCAATCAGAGCACACCTCGCTTTTTTAGAACGATGAGCTTTGTAAAAATCGACGCATTTCAGAAAGGCGGGGCATAGAGGAGAAACAATAATGTACAGTATGTGGAAAATAATGTGTTTTTTTAACCTTAAACCGCATAAACGCATTTCATTACACCAAATACACAAAATAATGTTCTTTTTAGCAACGTCATATGACCCCTTTAAATTCCAACTGCATTTTTGTCAGAAGCTAATTGTAATACCAAGTGTTTTAAAAAAAATAATTAAGCCTAACGTTACGTAAACGTTACATTCTGTTAAAGATAATTGACACAAATGCACAATAGAAAAGCTATAATTAACGATTATTTTCTACGTTCAGTACAAATAAAAGCATTGTATGACATTATTAAAACAACATCAAGAGAAATCTCTCTGTGACAATCATCATAACACATAATCCCATAATTAACACTGATGACCTTTCATAAAGTAGGTAACACTTGTACTCGTACTTACACTAATGGTGCATCAGCTGTGTTGAATGAATAAGTGCCCTGGTTATGTAACACATAGCAAGGCTTCTGTACAACAAAAGGAACCAACCTACCAGAAAATAGTTTTTCTGAGGGTTGCTAAAAAGTAAACTTGGTTTTCAAACAAAGGTGTGTAAGGTGCATAAATTCAAAAGGTTCCAGTAGCTCAACTGAGGACACATAGATAACTTTCTGAACATTGTGGGTAACCGTATTAAAGACAGAATGTGCTGCCACTAAAGAGCAAGTTCTTCGCAAAAAACTAACCGACTTCCTGTCAATGCTTAAATGCTGACAGGCTACAGGTCTGCTACCTACCAGACCACAAAAACAGAAGAAAGTGTTTAGTAAGCAGAGCGTAGATGAAAGAAAATACTTTTTTATTGCAGAAATGGATGTTAAGTAAAAATGTGATTGCACAAGAATCAGAATTGGTTATGAGCTCGATGCCATGTTGTGTTACAGGACATTCATAGAATTTAAAAACATAAAGATAGATTTATTCTTGTTATAGCAAGTCAGTCTGATAATGATTTCAGAGCCCTTCTTTTCTGTTCAGCTCTTCTGGATCTGATGTCGTAAACCAGAACAACAACAGTAGCCACGCCCACCAGAGCAGAGACAGCCAATTGGACCACAGCTTCAGTTGAATTACAACAGCAGACGCATTCTGAAAGGAAAAAATAACTAAATAAATATCCGTATATATAATGATTGATAATATGCTGCTGATGTGCTGGTCAGTGATGGTTTGATGGTACCTGAACATGGCTGACAGAGTTTGCTGATGTCCAGATGTTGAGTCTGGTTGCTGATGGGATTGTTGAGCACACAGCTGTAGGTGTTTTTATCCTGATATTCCACCTCCAGAGGTAGAGAGAGACTGATGCTGAGATCAGACACACTGATGCTGGACAATAAACTGTTTCCTTTGTACCAGGAGAGAGTCACATGACCCACATTCACCACTGAACACAGCAGCACACATCTGGATGCTGATGATCCTGATGGTGAAGGGTTTTGAGGACAGTAACTGGTGATGACAGGAACGGGAAGACGAGCTGGAAAACATTTGAGAAACATAAATAAATCAGAATAAATTGTCTGTGTCTGAGTCTATGCCTTTTTACTCACCAATGACAGTAACATTGAAAGTTTTCTTTGACACTTGTTGTCCAATCATCTGTGCTTTATAAAGTCCAGAGTCTGTGGTTCTGATGTTTGTGATGGTCAGAGATCCAGTCTGATCATCCAGCTTCAGTCGGTCTCTGAATATGTTGTGAGTTTCAGAGATGACTTGGTATGATATGTTGAGTTTAGCGATACAATAGTTTCCGCTCATCCACATTATCAGATCATCCTCTTGTATTTTAGTCACACCAGTCGGTAAGGTGACAGAATCAGCCTCCATCACTGACAACGACTCGATTTCATCTGCCTCAACACCAAACACACCTGAAACATACAAGAGCATAATGTGTTTTTTTAAACTTAAACCGCATGAACACATTTCATTACACCAAATACACAAAATAATGTTATTTTTAGCAGCATCATATGACCCCTTTAATCACTGACTAAAGCGCTTTAGTAGCTTTCTGTTGATTCACTAGTTTCAATTAACTTCAAAATTAATTCTCAAACCACTTCTCTATTTTGGCACTAAGAAAAAGTACAAAGCTGTGTATTAATGGAACATGTCATATGAAAATGTTAACGATTGATTTTCCTAAGTGTTTAGAGTGTTTCTTGAAATAGCAAGTCAAATCTGTCTCAAATGGTTTTCAAATGGTCACTGTAAAACCACTGATTGATACGACTGTCAATTGAGGGCAAGGCCAAAAAAAAAAAAAAAAAGCATGGCTTAAAGTTTTCAAGCTTTTTTTTAAGTACCAAAGCTTTTTAGCTTTTCAGTACCAAACTATTTTATTTATATTATTAGTGGGATAAGATCATTGTGAAATCAGACTACAGTTACCTTTTTATTGATTACATGATTACATATTATCATTATTACATATTATTAAGACTCATAGTTTTGTGGAGATTCACACACAGACCAGTCACTAGTCAGATGGCTATAATTACACAGAGAATTGAGAGGCCACACAGCATTTGACCACTGGATTTACAAAAATCATTTCAGTTTTAAGAAGTGTTTTCTCAACATTGCATCACTACTGACGAACACATTCATTTTTATTTGAATTATATCACTCAGTGGGTTATTTAACCATGCATTACTGTCTTTGAAAGGTTTTTGTCTTAAAATGAGTTTATATATTATACATTTATATATATATATATATATATATATAAACATTGCTAAAAAATTATACAATTAAATAAAATAACAGTAAAATTGCAATAAAAACAGGTTCAGACATTCTGACAGCTGTATAAAAATGTAAATAGAAAAAGTAATTTTCAACAGTAGGTTTTTACTCCACTATAAAACTGCAAGAGCTAACAGGGCTAAAAAAAATAGGACATTTTAACTTACCAACAAGACGCCAGAAGCACAAACCAAACAAAACGAACCCATGAAGCATTTTTATCAGCAGTTTGCTGTGCTGTCTTAGAGAACATCACTCGAAATGTGACCAGGTGTGAATCCTCCCCTATTTTACACCCTCCCCGTGGTGTGCAGACGCATTAACTGTGCATTTGCATTTGTTCTACTTAGCCGACATATTAAACCATTGGTAGAAAGTCATAAAGTCTTCTCTTTATTATTTAAGACAGCCAATCATGTTAAGGGTGCTGCTGATATTAAAATAAGCAAAACTTCTCAATATCTTACTTTACTAGTGTGCAAACTGCAACCTACTAAAGTAAGAGTAAAGATTTCTTGTAATGGTTAATTTGTTTCTCTATTACATATTAAATAATCATTGGCAAATAGATACCTAATTGTAAGTAGCATTAAATAGCATTGATAGACTCTGATAGTGTACTTTATCTATATTACTTTATCTAGTTTATCTATATTAACAGGAAAAAGTCTGTGGTTCATGTTACAAGGACAGGAAGAAGCCATTCAACCACATGCAACATCACAAACACAAGCTATTCCGTACACTCAACAAAACAAAACCACCTTTAGATAAAAAGAAGTCAGATCCATCACACACACACACACACACACACACACACACACACATGCTTGATCTGCTGCAGATCTTCTCTTGATCTGCTGCAACCCAATAGAATGTGATAATGAAAATTAAACCAACTAGCAATAATATTTTGGTTCTTATTATAAAGATTTTCAAAATTAGACCATAATTTTTAGAAGAACATGTCAGGTTGATTTGGGGTAAATCTGATTTCAGTTTGACCTACCCACAAGAAGTCATATCACCACTGTTTCCCACAAGTGGTCATCAGGTGGAACTGCAAGACACCTCCAGGACACACAAAACAAATGTTGCGTTTTACTACGTTGAAGTCAACACGTGTGATGTAAAGTTAAATACTTTATTTTATTGAAACAGCTATTTTAGCTCAAGATCACGTGATTACATGTAGTTGGGAAAGTCATTTGGAAAAGATAAATAGTAGAGCTTCAAACAGTGACGGACCTAAACGGACGTTCGAAACGTCCGGGGGACGTCCCCTGTTTGCTGGGAAAGGACCAGCTTAAACCCGCAAAGGACCAGCTTAAACCCGCAAAGGACCAGCATAAACCAGCAAAGGACCAGCTTAAACCAGCGTCAAAACATACTAACCAGCATATGCTGGTTTTTTCAACAGGGTAATGTTTTTGTTTGCATTGTTAGGTGGCGACGTGAGTCGATATCCTTCCTTCAGGATCCCACAGGACTAATAACTTCCTGACATTTATCGAATATTACTTCCGTTCTTCTCAACGCCAGTATACGCGTATTGCATGGCTTCTCAGCAGAGAAATAAGCAGGAATATGATTCCGACGACGAATATATTTCACAAATGAATCTAAATGGGTATAAAATATCTACATTGCTGTTAGGTCGGTCACAACCAAAAACGTTAGTCAGAAAAGGGTGTTTTCGCTGTCAGCGCGGATTTATGATACGAGCTAAAGGCTAAACACTCGGTAACATTTTACTCACTACACTCAACATCTTCATTAAATGCCACAACTAACCAAAATGAAGACCCCTGTTTTACTTCTATGCTTTTTGCTCGCAAAAGGTGAGTAGCCTATTTAAAAAGCTTCGAGACTTTCGCTTTCACTTTGTAGCTCTTTAAACAACTTTTCTTGAGTTGAAGTGTGCATTTGTAATCAAACTATAAATATGTAAATTTACTTCATTGTTGAGCGACATGCTTAGGCGTAATATTTGCATACTTTATCTACCACAATTACACATCTGCTCAGTCTGTATTAGCGTACTACCATTTCCCACAAACAATAACTAGCCTAATAACCTTGTGAACTTTATCTAGTCTGATTAGCTGAGTTGGATTTGCTCAACGTTGTCAGTCTGAACAACGGTTTCTGTTTGTTCTCCAGGTGTGTTTGGTGATTTTGTGATGGAGGGAGATTCTGTCACGCTACACACTGATCTTACTGATTTACAGAAATATGAACGTATACTCTGGACATTTGGACCTGGCCGCACTCGTATAGCTCAAATCAACAATGTAGTCAATAAGATCTCATTATACAATGATGTTCTTGATGGGAAATTCAGAGACAGGCTGCAGCTGGATGATCGGACTGGATCTCTGACCGTCACAAACACCAGAACTGAAGACTCTGGACTTTATGAACTGCAGATCATTGGTGGGATAGAGGTCCCACCAAAGAAGTTCAGTATTATTGTTTCTGGTGAGTATTTTGTAGTTGATTTCAGTGTATTGCAACAAGTCAGCAGGTCAAATGCAAAATTAGCCAAGTCACAGGTTGTTACTTTGGTAACTTTTCTATCCTTCTATCATCCTATATCCTCTTGGAGACAACACCAAGCTGCATGTACAGTATCTGGTTTCTTTTGTAAAGGGTGAAATGAGACCCGAGTCACAGCCTGGTATGTGTAATTTGTGGCAAGTGACCCAGAGAGACAAAACTAGTGGAAATTTACATAGGTGGTGTTTAGGACTTTTACAATTGCATTTTTACTTTTTAATAATAATAATAACAACATGTTTAATTTATATAGCGCCTTTCCCAAGCTTAAGGATGCTTCTAAATGACATTTTTTTTAGTACTATGGTTTATTTCTTAGACACTGAGATGACATGGATGCTGGTAATTAGATATGTGTAAAACTCAACTGCACAATTTTGGATTTTGGATTGTCTGTTATTCTGATATTTCCATCTTCAGCTCCTCTGCCTGTTCCTGTCATCAGCAGAAACTCTTCACAGTGTTCTTCTTCATCATCTTGTTCATTGTTGTGTTCAGTGGTGAATGTGGGTCATGTGACGCTCTCCTGGTACAAAGGAAACAGTTTATTGTCCAGCATCAGTGTGTCTGATCTCAGCATCAGTCTCTCTCTACCTCTGGAGGTGGAATATCAGGAGAAAAACCCCTACAGCTGTGTGATCAACAATCCCATCAGCAACCAGACTCAACATCTGGACATCAGTCAACTCTGTCAACCATGTGAAGGTACAGCAGAGCTGATATTAGTTGATGTCAGTGCTGATATAAACTGATTTGTTCAGTTCTCTATTTTTTCAACTTGCACTACTATTTTATAGTGGATGCATCAAGTTTAATCCCAGAAGATGGCTTACCCTTAAGTCACATGGTGCTGATCTGCGTTAGTGTTGTAGTTACTGTACTAGTCTTGGCTGCAGTTGGGATGCTCAGTATCTACTGGAAATACAAGAACACAAATCAACTGGGCAAGTTTACTTAAAGTTAATAGAGCAAGATTAGCTTTATTGTGCAAGCATGTAATTTTAACCACATTTATGTAATTGATTTACTTAATTGTTTAAGTCTGTGGTTTGTGTTTAAACAGGCCAGACCCCTAAACAAGAATACACTGAGATGAACAATGGTAAGACACTGTATTACTGCATCCAGTAGCGATATGGCAAAAATATCATATCATATTCGTGCTGGTTTTTTTAAAGACTATTTTGTAGTAAAAACTAGTTGGCCCTACTAGCCTTACTAATATAAGTAAAAACTTCTCAAGCTTATTTAAAACACATAAACAGTCAGAACAAAGATACAAATTACAAGCAACTGAACAAATAAACACAATTGAATGTTACAAATAAAATAAACAGCCATTTAAATTCTAATCATCTAAAAATTCTAATGAAAAATACAGTACCGTATTAATGAAATATACATTGATTTTTAATCAAGCTAAAAAATTATTAGGACAAAAGCAGTGAGGTTAGGCTGCTGTCACTTTAAGACCTAACTCACACGGATCTAATATACTGACGTCTGATTTTCTCCCTTCTCTGTCATCAAATGCCATTACAAATAAACAATGCATCTGCTATAGTTATTAAAAATATACAATACTTCTACTGAATATTTACTCCCCGTCTAGGTTCTCCAGGTGACGGTTTGGCTGAGACGGATGAACTGAAGACAGTATCGGTGAGGGTGGGAGAGACGGTCACTCTAAACACTGGTGTTACTGCAATAAAAAGTTTTGATGTGCTGCAGTGGAGGTTTGGAGAATTAAACACAGACAGCACAAACCCATTCATTGTCTTTGCCAGGCTGAATGAACAAAGCAATTTCGATGGTACTGGTCATTATGAGACATTCAGAAACAGAGTACAGCTGGATCAACAAAATGGATATCTCACAATTAATGACATCAGACCCACAGACTTTGGAATCTATAAACTAAATATCTCCAGGAACGGGAGAAATGTGATTTCCAAGACATTTATCGTCCGAGGTGAGTAGCTCAAATCATTTAGTCGAATTTTTTCGATCCTTTAACACTGACCAAGTTCGATTAACTGAAACGACCAATTAATTAATGTAAAATTGGCCAAATCTGAGCTATATATTTCAAACAATAATCTTTTGATTCAAATAATAATCTTTTTGTTTTGTTTTGTTTTTACAGATTCCTCAGAAAACGGGGGGAATGTGCCAGAGGAGACAATAGTGTTAATGAATGGAGAGATTACTGCAAACACTTGTCTATAGTGACTGTGACATTATCCTTTATTTTTATAAAACGTCTCTACTTTTTGAGCCTTTAAAGTGGAAAATGTTTGAAATGAACACTGCATACTGTTAACCTGTGAAAAGTATCATAACAAAGCGTTTCTAGTTACATTAACTTTTTTTTTTTTTTTGGTTTTGGTTATTTTACTGTTGATGGAACATGTTGCTATTACCTGTGATCTTGCCTGTTGTGCAGATATTCCTGTTATATACATTGCATGTATGTTACATTGGTGTCAATTTGACAGTTTTGATCAGTGTTAATGAACAAAACAACATTTTGAACGTTTTCCTCCCTCTAGTGGACAATCTAAAGGATGTGTGTTCGTAAAGAGTTTATAATGTAAGTGAAACGCTGCAATTTTGGTCTGAATGTAATTTCAGCCTCAAGGACAAAATATGTAGTAATAATAATAATACACTTTTTCTTTTAAAGTAAGTGTTCTGTAAATTGTGGGTAAACCTCTGACCATTATATACAATGCAAACACAGATTTGCTGTAAAATCTCTAAATTTTAACTGTACATGGTAAGGTAACTTACAGTACAGTTAGCTTATTAATAGGATTTTACTGATTTATTTTTTAAACGAAAAGATTAAATTTGACAAAAAAAAAATAGCTGACCTTGAACTTTGACCTAGAGGTGGCACTTACTTTCTAACACAGTCATTTACTGTGTGCTCGCACCACCTTCAATAAAACATTTTGACATTTAGTTTTGGCATTTTATCACATTTGACATACTGGTGTGGGAGGGGTCCGTGTACGTATTGATACCCCGATAGCACACGGACATCACAGAGATGTCTTGACATTTACAACTGCAAGATGTATTTCTTTGAAGTGTTTGCACATCTGCAATCCGTCTATAGGGCGTTTCCTCTCAGATGTCGAATAGACGTTTAGAAAATGTCTTTGAGATGTTTATGATTTAGGATGTAGGTAAAACTGACACCTTATAGACATTTATCAGCTGTTTGTACACAGCAGATGCTTTCCAGATCAAGCGATCTTTAACAGACATCTTGCAGACGTACGTGTGCTGGTTTGTTTTTTTGATTTGAAATGAAATAACCAGAAATGAGAAAACAGTGCCTTTATTCGCTTTTCCGTGAGATTTCAGCTTGATTTTTCTTTTTTTTGTTTGTTTATTTATTATTTTGGTTCACAGCTAGAAAACGGATAAACGGATCAATTATTTTAAATAAATAAAACAGACTGGGTGCAGACTCATATATTTTTTAAAATATTTCTGTAAAAAGTGAAAGCCTAATCTAGGACCTGCCCTGTATAGTAAGAAGCAGCAGAGAACTATTATTTTGTTAAAACAGAATTGCTTTGGCTGACCAATCGGCTGAAAGAGGCGTCTTATGATCGCCGACATGTGGAATTTTGAAGTAATTTATCCATTTTCTACCCATGAACCAAAAAACGAAATAAATAAAAAAAAAAAAATATATATATATATTGAACAAACGAATAAAGGTGCAGTTTTCTTGTCTCTGCTTATTTAATTTCAAATTGAAACTATAAAAACGTACATGGATCCCCAATATAGATTTAAATATAGGCCCAATTTTATGCAATTTTTGTATTATATACTGTATTTTGCAGTTGATTTACAATTTCTTTTTGAATTAAAAAATCTTACACCTGCAGAAAAAAATACTGTTGGCCAATGTTTAATATGATGTAGCTACACTTACATGAGATGAAGATATCAGTGATATCAGTGTCCTAGAAAAATCTATTTTCAACACAAACATTGACTATACCTAAATTATAAACAATGCATATATATATATAAAAAATGCACATTCCTTTGTAACCATTTTCAAAAAAGGAAAAAAAAAAAACGTACTGAAACAGGTACAAAAGAGATAGAGATGATTGTTTTAATAGTGAATCAGTGTAGGGCTGAAGTTGATCTACGAGTTTGTCTTTTCTGATCAGATTTTCTGGATGTGATTTCAAAACCCAAAACAACAACAGTAGCCACACCCACCAGAGCAGAGATGACCAATTGGATCACAGCTTTAGTAGTGTCACAACAGCAGACACATTCCGAGTCTGAGGGGATAAAAGAACAATAAACACAAAATGACTGATAATATGCTGCTGACTTACATAAATAAACACTAATGTTACCTGAATGTATCTGACAGAGTTCACCAATGTCCAGATGTTGAGTCTGGTTGCTGATGGGATTGTTGAGCACACAGCTGTAGGTGTTGTTATCCTGATATTCCACCTCCAGATGTAAAGAGACGCTGCTGCTGAGATCAGACACACTGATGCTGGACAATAAACTGTTTCCTTTGTACCAGGAGAGAGTCACATGACCCACATTCACCACTGAACACACCAATGAACAAGATGATGATGATGATGGTGATGAAGAACAACAGTCTCTGCTAATGACAGGAACAGGCAGACGAGCTACAAAAGATTAGAAACATTTACATTACATTAAAAAAAGATGAATAATGGCTTTATTCCAAATTGTAGATTTGAATGTCGTAAGGAAGTATTCATGAGCTGTTCATGAACACCTCGCTATTAAAGGAATAGTTCACCCCCCCAAAAAATTGATGTAGATGAGTTTGTTTCTTCATGGAAACAGATTTGGAGAAATTTAGCATTACATCACTCGCGCAGCCATGGATGGGTGCCGTCATAATGAGAGTCCAAACAGCTGATAAAAAAAAAAATTCATAAGTAGTCCACATTAATTCCAGTCCATCAATTAACATATTGTTGTGAAAAACTGTGTTTGTAAAAAACAAATCCATCATTAGGACTTTTTAACTTTAAACCATTGCTTCTGGCCACAATATAAGTCCATAATCCATAGTAACACTCATTCTGACGGCACCCATTCACTGCTGAGAATCCACTGGTGAGCAAGTGATGGATTGCTTAATTTTTCCAAATCTGTTCCCATGAAGAAACAACCTCATAAATGATGTGAGGGCCAGTAAATGTTTCACAAATGTTCATTTTTGGGTGAACTATTCCTTTAAATGGCTACATTGTAATTGATATTTATAATATTTGTAAGTTATATGTACTGTTATAATTTATAGTTTATGTTGAGCAGATGCTTATGTGACAACAGAGAAATATATAAATTAGTGCCAAATACAAATAAAGTCAGCTGGATTTGTGTGTCGAGTCTGTAGCTCTTAACTCACCATAAACAGTGACATTGAATGTTTTCCTTATCATCTTATTTCCAATGATCTGTGTTTTATAAATTCCAGAGTGGTCGGTTCTGATGTTCCTGACAGTGAGAGATCCAGTCTGGGGGTCCAAATGCAATCTGTCTTTGAATCCTTTGGTACTTTCAGATACTGAGATGATCTGGGCTGATCTGTTGACTTCAGCCATGGGAGAGTCTTCGGCTCCGAATCTCCATAAAATCAGATCATCTTTTTTTATTTCAGTATCAGT